AATGTGCGAGTTGATCAACACCTAAAAACAATTAAGGAAAGCCTAAAATGGGGACTACACCGTAACATGACAAGTTTTTCTTTCTGATACTGGAGTAGTGAAATCTGTAATAATTCAGTCTATTGTATAGCTGATTAGCTATTACGTCTTGGTTGATAGGATGATCAATCTTGGTATAAATTAATCAAAGGTTGAATCAATTATGGCCGCATTTTTTTTCCTAATATTTAAAAACCAATGCTAACCAAAAACTCAAATTAAAAGTAGATCAAGATCGCTCAGGCTATCAAAATAGAAACCCTAGAAAGTGAAACTGATAACAAACACACTACACCCAGAGAGATGGAGGATGGGTGGTAATAAGGGATTGCTTTGAGTTCAAGTTTATCGGCATCTACTTGATCCAGGAAGCTTGAAATACATTTGTCTTTATAGAAGCAGCTAACTAACTGTATTTGCCGCTGTTAAATAACCATGGTGACTTTAGGTGTGCTATGCTTCTAGATTCCACATTTGAAATGTTTCTGCATCATTCGTTAATGTTTGCTCAACTGAATATTTGTTAAGGCTGGTGTTGAAGTTTTTGCTTATTCTTTTTTTAGGAATTTGTATTTGATTAAATTCCACACTTTCCAACTATTATTTCTCTATTTAACCAACAGATTTTTAGTACTAATTTATTGTTTCTATGTTTCTGAAGGTGGAACGTAATGTTCTCTTTTTTTTTTGTGTGCACAGTTCGTATACCATCTACAGCAAGAAAACTGCTTGCCAGTTATGTGAAAAAAGTTGCGTCTGCTGTATCTGGCCTGTATGTAGTTGATGTTGATTTTGCACTGAATGAATTGTGCAAAGATGATCAAAAGCTTGAACAAATGCTCCTAGGAAGAGAATTCCATATTAGTTTGGGTAGAACTGTTCCAATTCAGGCACATCAGATAAACTCCATTGTGGCAATGCTTCAACAAAAGTTCCAATCACAAAGGAGGTCTGCCAATATCTACTTTGGGATAGTTTATAAATGGCTTCCTTAACATTTCTAGTCTCCATTTTGATGCTTCCCATGTATTGCTAAGTTTCTCATATTGTTGTATGACTGTGACAGTTGGGTGAATAACTTATCTCTTTTCCCTTGATAGCAGATACCAGATAGATTTTAATAAATGGGATGTCTTTGTCAATGACGACCAAACACGTTCCTTCATCTCGCTGGAAGTTACTGGAGAAGGACTAGCAGAGGTACTGATGAACTCTAGTACTCTATCCCTTGCTTCTTTATGTGAACGTATAATGTGCAGAAATATCAATTTTCTAACTGTACTTGCATATAAACTCAAATCCTATGTGGTTGGACTTCTTGATTACATGTATAATTAGAAATTCGGTATTAGTTGAATGTGAATTTATACCTGATCTTGGTGGAGATCATACCTTAAGGGCTAAACATACAAACTTTATAAGCACATTTTTCTGGGAATACTCTTGCCTGAATATATGATTGTTGGATGAAGACCTGTTCAGGTTGTTTGATAGCAACAATTAAAGGAGAGATGGGAACCTCGGGTCACACAGAGAGAAATATACTGACTCAAGTGTCAACTAATTTCCATTAAATAAAACTTGTAAACTATTCAATATTTCCATTACATCATTTTTAACATGATGGTAAAGTTTGTCACTTGCTTACATAGAGGATTGATCTGTCACATTTGAACCATGAGAATGTTTTAAACTCAAAATTTATCATGTGATCATGGCTTTTCTTTTTTAGTTTTTACTCGTTGGAGCAGAAGAGAATATTTTATATTAGAAGCTTTGCCCTGGAAGCATTGTCATCGATTCACTTTTACTGTTACTTCATACAATGAAGTAGATGTCTGACTCAAGTTTTGAATTCTCTCTCCCACAGGTTTCCTATCTAAATGAGACTAAGAATTTGCTTATGAGCACATAATCAAGATGGCAATTTGCCAAAATTCTAAGCCAATAGTAATGCATTGTTGTGGTATATAAGGCTATAAGCCAAAATTTTGTTCAGTTTCGCTCGTTTAGATATAACGAATGAGCCTGAGCAATCTTTTCTCAAGATGATCCAAGCTTGAGCCTTGAGCTTCATGAACCATTTTACAATCCAACTTAGTACTTTATGAGGTATATACTTTATAAAAAGATTGAGACCTGTCCTTGTAATACTTTCGAAAAACTTGATTGCAACTTCAAAGGGCATATCTCAGTTGCTACTTACTATTCATGTTTTAGCTGACAGTCAATTTTTCTGGTGAGCATTGTTGGCTTTATAAAATCATAAATCACTTGGCCACAAGCTTCGTCTCATAGTACCTCTGTTCTCTCAACGCGTCAAAAGACTCAAAACTTTGGTTACTGTGGATGATGTTCCTCTCTATTTTGAAGCATCACCTTTTCCTACTAACTTGGTGGGAATGTTTCTTGCAGATAAGTAGGCAGATTCGGGTTGTCGATGAGATATATAGACTGCATGGTCTTCCAGAGTTTTATAAGGTCAGGTGTTAAACTTTAAGAAAAAGTTTTCATATCAACTTGTTCTGCTGTCACAAGACCATGAAAACCAGCCATGCCAACTGAATTTCATCACCTTAAGGAGATCAGCGCATGGTTATTTCTTGTAACGAGTCAATCATTTTTTCCCTCACATTTGCTGAATCGCCACTATAGTTTTATTTACTTCGAATGCTACTTTTCAATCACATATTCTCTTGATGCCTTCACTCACGGATATTAAACATTTATTCTTTCCTCAAGGTAACATGCTATGTCAAGGCTTCCCCTGAATGTTTCTTTCTCTTGTTTATATAGTTTTATTTCATCTATTACCATACTAACTACAATGAAGACAATGAAAAATGCAATTTTTTTTTTACCATTTTATTGTCAGAGAACTGAACTATGAAATTGAATGATGCAGAATCCACGTCCCCATATATCATTAGTATGGGCACCAGGGCATATCAGTGTCGGGCTCAAGAAGGTAGTTGCGGAGCTGGATAGAGTCCCCAATCGCCCAAGCACTTCCCGAAAGAATTTGTTTTCGTGCAGGTTTAGCGCGGTTGAATGTAGGATAGGAAAAAAGCTGTACAGCATATGTAAACTCCGTGATCAATAGATGAGGACCAATTTATGAACATGGCTTGAATATATTATCCTTTCTCCTCGCCTTGCAATTATACAGTTCATTTGTGAAGTGATGGTTTTACTGGTGGGTTTCTTTGATGTCACAGAGATTTTGTTCCTTTGATCTGATTTTTCACTTGAGGTATTTCTCATGTTTTTCTCTCGATGCCTACGTTTGATCAAGTGATTCATGATTTTTGATGCAACTAGGGTTGATATTGCAAGCTCATTTCCATGTTTTCTAGTTTTATCGTCATTAACCATTAATAATGTTATTACGAGCTGCACTTTTTCCAAAAGTTGATCAATCAAACCAGCTATAAACTGGATATTTGTATACACGAGGGTTCAACTTCAAACTTAGTATTTTGCCCTACGCGTTGTATAAAAAACTATAATGGAGGCAGCGTAATTTTAATGTTGATGCAGCCTGTGACGGGAAATCTCGGTTAATATTGATTGAAAATTAGGGAGTATTAATTAATTTATTGAATAATTCAAGATCTATGTTTGAACACATAAAATACAGAAATTTATCACTGAAATTTAAACACGAACTAAAAAAGACTTATGCCGTTAATTTTTACCAGGCTTCATGTTAGGGGCTGTTTGGTTGATTTCCTAGATTCCAAAAAAAAAAAAAAAAAAAAAAAAAAAAAAAGAAAAAAAGAAATAGATAAGGAAATCACTAAAACTTGTGTTCCACCCATTTCTTTAAAAAAAGTCCAAAAAAAAAAAAAAAAAAAGAAATAGATAAGGAAATCACTAAAACTTGTGTTCCACCCATTTCTTTAAAAAAAGTCATGAAATGAGTTTCCTTAAAATTGTGTCACATCCTCCAATAAGATGATGTCAACTTATCTTATGTCTTCTCTTTTCTTACTTTTAGGAGGTGAACCAAACAAAAGAAAAGAGCTTATTATAGGAAATATGTTTCCCATAATATATTTCCTTTTTTTTAACCAACCAAACAGCCCCTTAAAGAAAACAGCTTGCAGTAATCAAAATTTCAGATATATAAGATATATATTCCCTTAAAGAAAACAGCTTGCAGTAATCAAAATTTCAGATATATAAGATATATATTTATGGAGCACCTGGAAAGCCGCTTTTATGAAAATCACCCTCGGTTTTGCGACATAAGAAGTCATGATGCTCGCATGGGATGATAAATTACTGCAGCAACACGATCTTGGAGCTCTATCAGAAAAAATGCAAGCACGACATAATTCAATCATCCACTACTCAGCATAAAAAATATATAACTATAACCACATTATATAATGGTTAAAAAACTGAAATTTGGCGCAAAAAGTCATAGCCTGACGTGTGCAGGACTCGATCCTCATGCCTGCTGCATGATCACGGAAAGTTATATGGCACTGGCATTGTATGTGGTCTTTAATGTATTTCGAAAATATCTAATATATTTGATGAATCGAGCATTTCACCATCGAAAAAACGCGGAGGATTAACCTAGTTTTGCATTTTCCGCCTTACTGTCTTCGGCCAGAGTTCTCGGTGCAGTAAAAGAAAACTAGACGACAGCAACACCGACAATAAGCCAATAAACTGCAAACTAGGGGTGTGCAACGATCGGTTTGGTTCGGTTTTTACTAAGATTTGAACAACCGAACCGAACCGCCTATAATTCAAAACCGAAGCGAACCGTTACAAGTCGGCTCGGTTTGTTCGGTTCTAACTTCATCAAACTTCTTATCAAACAACAAACTGTGTTAAAGAAAAAAAAAGAAAACTTCTTATCAAACAACAAACTGTGTTAAAGAAAAAAAAAGATATCAACAAAGTAGGAGATTATGAAGCATTAAACACTGATATAATGATATTGTTTTCAACCCATAATGATTCAGTTCCTAATACATATGCAACATACTTAATGCCCAGAGTTCAAACTGTTAAAGATAAAACAAATGACGAGTGATGACCACTATAACATAACCAGCAAAATTGGAACATAATTTTTATCACAATCAAAAATGGAAAAGTCATATGAAAAACTTTATCACAATCCTTGCCTCTGAAGAGAACTTAAAATTTGGAACATAATTTTTATCAAGGGTCAAGCATTGAAGCATCATCCACTAACATAACCAGCAAAATTAAAGTTAAAGTTGAAAAGGAAAGGGAGGTTGAATATTACAGATGCTTTTCAAAGAATAACCGCAGTCAACATTGAATGAGAAGGAAGCTTGAAGAAGAGCAAAAGAACATCACATGACAAGAAAAAAGATCACTGAGATGTAGAAGAATGATTTTCAAATTATACCTCGGCATCGGCGACAGCGACGGGTGCGGGTGTCCCCCCCAAAGCCGGAGATAGATCCTGAGCCTGAGGAGATGTTATGGCCTCGGCCATGAAGACTGCGGAGCGCTAGCGGCTGAGGAGTGAGAGAGAGTGAGAGAGGCGGACAGAGAGTGAGGGAGAGGAAATGAGGAGCGGCGCGCGGCTGGGAGAGGAAATGAGTTTAGGGTTTGAGTCTTTGACTCTTTAGGGACAGGTCGGATAAGGTTTGAGATCAGAATGGGTAGTATTGCACTATATTCGGTCGGTTCGGGTTGAAAAGTTTTCAACCCGGTCCGAACCGCCCTACTCATAAAACCGATTTTTTCGGGTCGGTTCGATCGGTTTTTTCGGTTCGGACCGAACCATGCTCAGCCCTACTGCAAACACAAAAACACTTCCACGCTAAAACACAACCCGGTAATATGTATAAATTCTTCAAGTTAACTGTAATACGTCGACCTTTAATGGTGTTGGCATTTCTGTGAGGTTCTCTCGACTCTTTAACACTAGTTATTAATTGTTGGCATGTTATAAATTCACCTAAAAACTCCCGGAATTCCCTCTCAGCTTATTACAGTATACGAAAATGAACCAGAGGCGCTACTTGTGGATTTAGCTCACGCTGCAAGATGAAATGGGCACCAACAACAGACCTACCCTACAAAGTGTTTGACATTATGTAGCATTTTTATAATCCAGGAATGGGCCCAAGATTGTACTTTTGCGCTGATGATTTCGATTCGATCTCCTCTTTCTTTTGTGATTTACTAGATTCGATGCTACCAAGGTGGGCTTGGGTCGCTTATTCTGCTAGAAAGAAGACTACGGATGAGACTCCTGCCACGTGGGATTGACGAATCGTATCAGAATGCACTCGTGGATAATAATAACGTTTTAGAAATAAATTCGAGTCTTCTAATAAAACGTAAATAGCTACGACTTTGGTGACCTCTCGGTCAGCATAACACGAATCTTATGCCCCGTTTGGTACACTTGTGTTGGATATTAATTATTTTTTAATCAAAACATCACATGGGCTGCTGCCTAAAGTTAGTCAGATGTTGAAAAATGAAAAAGTGGCGGCCCCACCGAAGAAAAATTTAGACGCGGATCCCACATGTATAGTAAAATAATATTATTTTATTAGTGCATAGTGTTTTCCCGAACGCTATAAATAGACCTCAAATCTTTAAAGAAAATTCATTCTAAAAACAACAATCAATATATACAGATATATGTTTGAAAAATAGCTAGTAGTGCTCGTAGGAACATTGCCTGGACCGAGAAGGTCTTATAGACCGAGGAGATTGTTACCTTGACCGGTCTTATAGATCGAGGAGATTGTTGCCTTGACCGAGAGGTCCTATAGATCAAAGAGATCTTGACAGTACTGTGTTGGTGCATACCAAAGTACTGTACTGCTGTCCCTGGAAATAATTTAGCATTGGGATCCTTGCACCGGAGTAGGTTAAATATTGGTTTAAGCACAACATTTTACAAACGCACAGCAACTGAGTTGGATAATTTTAAAATTACTGCACTTCAACTTTCTTTCAGTTATTTGTTGCTTTATATCTGTATTATTCTAGATTTAACTACAGGTGCTAACAATCTTAAAGCAATATTCTGATCTACTATGGATTTTGCAAGGACCCTTGGAGTGGACTGTTTTAAATTAGAGAACTTTGACGAATCCAACTTCAACGCATGGCGTCAGAAAGTGATCTCCGGGATGCAACTCCTGAAAATCTACTATGTGGTTTCTGAGGAGAAACCCGACTCTGAAGAAGACTCTGAAACTGAAGCCTCTTGGGCTAGAGATGATCACTTCTGCAGGAGTTATATTCTTAACTGCCTAGCTGATCATCTAGCAGATGCTTACACCAACAAGCCATCTGCAAAGAAAATCTGGAATGCTCTGGAGGACCAGTACAAGGATGAGGAGAAACTGTCCAAATATCACCTCATCGACAAGTTTCTAGTTCGAAGATGACACTGAGGTTTTCCCTCAAGTTAAAGAGCTTGAAAAGCTTGTTATGAAGCTGAATGATGAAAAAATTAATCTTTGCCAAACCTTTATTTCTGGTGCAGTTGTCAACAAGCTTCCTCCATCTTGGGTGTCATTCTCCACTGGTATTCGGAGAAGGAAAAGACATGTGACTCTATCTGATCTGAAGAGGTTCATTCAGATCGAAGACGAGACTCGGACTCGCACGAAGACTGAGCTCATTGCTAAGCAGAAGGCGTCTGCTAACATGGTGACTGCTAATTCTGAGAAGGATAATAATTCATATTTTAATAATAAGACGAAATTCTTTAACAAAAGGAAGAACCAAAATCCAAAGAACCTGAACGTCAGAAGAAGGAGTTCAAGAAGAATAACAAATGCTTTAACTGTGGGAAGCAATGACATTTTGTCAAAGACTGCAAAACACCAAAGAAGGAAACAACGCACAATGCCAATCAAGTTGATGATTGTGTGGCTATACTCTTCTAGATAACAACTCCTAACAACATCTTTGGTTGGTGGTTAGATACAGGTGCTACTTGTCATGTCTGTTGCAACAGAGATCTATTCTCTTCTTATGTTGCTGCTAAAATGAACGTATCAATGACTGATCGTTTTGTGGTTCCTGTTCTTAGAATTGGGATTGTGGTGCTGACTCTCTCTTCAGGGAAGACTCCCACATTAAAAGATGTAAAATATGTTCTCTCAATTGTCAAAAACTTAGTCTCTAGAAGCCTGTTGTGTGATGCAAGCATGAGGCTGGATTTCTAAGGAGGAAAGATTGTGTTATCCTTCAAAAAAAAATATTTTGGTAATGCATA